CTGATGCGATACTTGCGGCTGTTAAACACAATAAATAAAAAAAACTACACAAGCCAATAAGATACACAGATTCTGTAAGCGTAGTAAAAGCTCTGAAAGCTTTCAAAGAACACAAAACCTATTTTATCGTCTCGCTTTATTCGCTTTTATGCCCAGTGTACTCATTCAAACCACTTGTTGTAGTCTGCTGGGTTCCAGGACACCGCGAAATACAATGCAACGTTATGATGGCAGAGCTAGCTGGATCCGCCAACAAAACTGCTACCAATACATCAATAACGAGTCCTGCACTCGAATTGAAACCTTTTCGAAAACGAAAGCTTACGGGTTATTGACAGAGCACAAGGGACACACACACAGGTAATAAATTTCATGTCATCAAGCCGCAACTTGGTCATTGGCCGCCAGTATCAAAATCACGCCACACAGAACTAATACTCACAATGTTAAGAACAGGACATACACACAATACAAATTCATTTCTTTTGTCTGATGGCGATCCACCTTTGTCGGAAAGATGTGGAGAAGCACTCACCATACTTCACATTTTAGTCCAGTGTAAACAATTAAACACGCTCAGAAGAGAACACTTTCCATTATCCTACCGAAAACAGAAGCCACTTAATCCTGCAATATGCGTCGGCAGAGAACCGCTTTTTACACATTATTCGTTGTTCGCTTTTTTGAGCTAACTCCGTACCTTTTATGCGATATACCCGAACATTCTGTAGCACTACCTCTCCAAAGAGGTCACTGCTGCGGTGGCTACTCTGAACAAAGCACTTGCCTCACTGCACTTTACGGTAGGGTGTGAACGATCGAGGCACTTGTGCTAATGCCATACATGCACTTATTATACAGCCGCTAATCACAATCATTGTCCACATCTCTTGTTCCATGAACTGGTGCTCTTTGGCCATCAAGTGGCCCTTGCACCACAAATCACCAAACATTATCATCATAAGCACGTTGTTTTTTTACCCACTTATTGCGGCTAGCCACCACGTTCGTGTGCTGGTGAGCAATGGTTATTTATTTAGAGATATTCTGAGAGCGCCCAGTCGCAGTGACTAGTAATAAACTCAACTGGCCACGTGACCACGCAAAGCTGTGAAGTAGGCGCCACGCACGTGCGGGCTAGCCACTTGAGCAGGCATCGCCCCAGTGGCTCTGGCCGCGCTAACCTAGAGACAAAAACTCGTGACGTAGGCTTGTGTACGTCACGGACGAAGGACTAACGGTTGACGCCAGAATTTACGCTGACACCCCGTTGATGTTCCTGGCTACGTGTCTGCCGAGGGTATCTCGGACATGCCCAGGGTTGACGTATATTTGGACGCCAACAAGAGAGCATTCTTCCCCAACAACATTTACAGCTGCATGCTTAGTTCATCGTGCATCGCTTTTTTTCTTCACCCTCGTCTTTCCGTGTTAGCGAAATGACGCGAATTTCACGTGGTAGGCGACTGCTCACGCGGGATCGGGTACGGGTGGTGCACCTGAGGGCTTCTGGTGGTAGCATTGTCACACACCACGTATCCATTATTTAAGAGGCCAGTTACTGTATGTTAGTTTGTTCGGTCTTGTTTGAAGTTACAGGCCCAGCCGTGGTGGTCTAGTGGCTAAGGCACTCGGCTGCTGACCCGCAGGTCGCGGAATTCAATCCTGGCTGCGATGGCTGCATTTTCGATGGAGGCGGAAATGTTCTAAACCCGTGTGCTCAGATTTGCGTGCTCGTTGAACTCAGGTGGTCGAAATTTCCGGAGCCCTCAACTGTTGCGTCTCTCATAATCATACGGTTGTTTTGGGCCATTAAACCTCACATATCAATCAATCAATCAGTCACTCAATTAACCTCTCCTGCAGCACACCTGAACTTGGCAACGTTTAACGCTAGAACCTTATCTAGTGAGGGAAGTCTAGCTGTACTATTGTAGGAGCTGGAGGGTTATAAATGGGATATAATAGGGCTCAGTGAGCTTAGGAGGACAGATGAGGCCTATACGGTGCTACAGAATGGGCACGTCCTTTGTTACAGGGACTTGGCAGACAGACGAGAACTGGGAGTGGGGTTCCTAATTCACAGAAACATAGCTGGCAACATAGAGGAATACTATAGCATTATTGAAAGAGTGGTAGGTATCGTAATTAAACTGAATAAAAGATACAAGATGAAGGTAGTACAGGCTTACGCGCCTACATCCAGCCATGATGACGCTTCAGTTGAAAGCTTCTATGAAGACGTGGAATAGGCATTGAGTAAGGTAAAAACACAATATACTATAGTGATGGGTGACTTTAATGCAAAGGTAGAAAAGAAGCAGGCTGGAGACCAGGCAGTAGGAGATTATGGCATCGGTACTAGAAACGCCAGAGGAGAGCTACTAGTGGAATTCGCAGAACGCAATAATTTACGGATCTTGAATACCTTCTACCGAAAACGAGAAAACCGCAAGTGGACATGGAGGAGCCCTAATGGCGAAAATAAGAACGAATTACACTTTATAATGAGTGCACACCCTGGAATCGTGCAGGATGTGGAAGTGATTGGCAAGGTGCGATGCAGTGACCATGGAATGTTACGGTCTCGAATTCGCCTAGACTTGAAGAAGGAACGACAGAAACTGATACGCAAGAAGCCAATCAATCAGCTAGCACTGAGAAGGAAAGTACAGGAATTCAGAGTGTCGCTGCAGAACAGGTACTCGGCTCTTAGTGAGCAAACCAACCTTAGCGTAGATACAATGAATGATAACCTGACGAGTATCATTACGGAGTGTGCAGTGGAAGTTGGAGGCAGGGTAGTTAGACAGGACACTGGCAAGCTTTCCTAGGAAACGAAGAACCTAATTAAGAAGCGTCAAATCATGAAAGTGTGAAGTACCACAGACAAAATAGAACTGGCAGAGCTTTCGAAGTTGTATAATAGACGTTAGGTATGCGATGTAAGAAGGTATAACATGGAGAGAATTGAACACGCTCTGAAAACGGAGGAAGTGTCAAAGCATTGAAGAGGAAACTTGGGATAGGCAAAAGTTGGATGTATGCTCTAAGGAACAAAGAAGGCAAAATAACTACCAATATGGATAGGATAGTTAAAATAGCGGAGGAGTTTTACAGAGATCTGTACAGTAGCCGAGACAACCACGACCTTAATACTATAAGAACTAGCAGTAACCCAGATTACACCCCACCAGTAATGATAGAAGTCAGAAAAGCTTTGGAGAGCATGCAAAGGGGCAAAGCTGCTGGTGATGATCAGGTAACATCAGATCTGCTGAAAGATGGAGGACAGATTGTGTTAGAAAAACTAGCCACCCTGTTTACGAGGTGTCTCCTGACGGGAAGAGTACCAGAATCTTGGAAGAACGCTAACATCATCTTAATACATAAGGAAGGAGATGACAAGGACTCGAAGAATTACAGGCCGATCAGCTTGCTCTCTGTAGTATACAAGCTATTTGCGAAGGTAATTGCTAAAAGAGTAAAGAAAACATTAGAATTCAATCAACCAAAGGAACAAGCAGGATTTCGAACACGCTACTCAACAATTGACCACATTCATACTATCAATTAGGTAATAGAGAAATGCTCAGAGTATAACCAAGTACTATACATAGCCTTCATAGATTACGAGAAGGCGTTTGATTCAGTAGAAATATCAGCCGTCATGCAAACAATGCGGAATCAGGACGTAGATGAAGTATATATAAATATTCTGGAAGAAATCTACAGGGATCAACTGCTACCATAGTGCTTCATAAAAAAAGCAACAAAATACCAATCAAGAAGGGTGTAAGGCAGGGGGACACAATTTCCCCAATGCTATTTACCGCGTGTTTACAGGAGGTTTTCAGAAGCCTAGAATGGGAACAGTTAGGGATAAGAGTCAATGGAGAATACCTTAGTAACCTGCGCTTCGCCGATGACATTGCATTGCTGAGTAACTTGGAGACGAATTGCAACTCAAGATTACGGAGTTAGACAAGGAGAGCAGAAAGGTTGGTCTTAAAATTAATCTGCAGAAAACGAAAGTAATGTACAACAACCTCGGCAAGGAGCAGCGCTTCGAGATAGGTAATAGTGCACTTGAAGTTTTAAAAGACTATGTCTACTTAGGGCAGGTAATAACCGCAGAGCCGAACCACGAGATTCAAGTAACTAGAAGAATAAGAATGGGGTGGAGCACATTCGGCAAGCACTCTCAAATTATCACAGGTAGATTACCACTATCCCTCAAGAGGAAGGTATATAACAGCTGTATCTTGCTGGTACTTAGTTACGGAGCAGAAACCTGGAGACTTACAAAGAGGGTTCAGCTTAAATTGAGGACGACGCAGCGAGCAATGGAAAGAAAAATGGTAGGTGTAACCTTAAGAGACAAGAAGAGAGCAGAGTGAATTAGGGAACAAACGGGGGTTAAGGATATCATAGCTGAAATCAAGAAGAAAAAATGAACATGGGCAGGACATGTAGCACGTAGACAGGATAACCGCTGGTCATTAGGGTAACTGACTGGATTCCCAGGGAAGGGAAGTGGGTTAGGGAGAGACAGAAGGTTAGGTGGGCAGATGAGATTAAGAAGTTCGCGGGTATAAATTGGCAGCAGCAAGCACAGGACCGGGTTAACTGGCGGAACATGGGAGAGGCCTCTGTCCTGCAGTGGACGTAGTCAGGCTGATGATGATGATGATGATGATGCAGCACACCTTGTTCCATTACGGATTGGTGCCGCCCAAGGCAAAATTCTGCCGACGCCATAGATATACTTATTTCGTCGCAGCGACGAAATGGAAGTCCAGGTGAAAATTTTGTTACTGGTTCCTAGTGGTCTCAGTTCAAGTGATTTATAAGCATATTCCCTGTTGGTGCTGGAATCAGTAGGCGCTGGAACTACTTGCTACTGTTTTCAGTTACTACTGAAATCAGTTGATGCTGGGAGGGACCACAGCAGCAGCCAACAGGCCACATTGATTAATAGATACCACAAAACACAAATGTCTCGTCTACTAGGCTTTATTGGCACATTCGCCAAGTGGATTTTAGGAAATCCTGAATTTTCTTGTTCAGGAGGCTGTTCATGTTGCTTAATGTCTCCTGTACGTCTTCTCCCGTTTTCGCATCCCCTTGCTTCACATTGGCTGCGAAAAGTAAATCAAAATGTAGGACCACAAGAATGGCACCCACAACAATCAACTAAGCACAAGCTTGATGGAAACTTGAAAAAATTGATTTGCTGCACAAACTTGAAGAAAAAAGACACACACAAACTTGAAGAAAAAAGAGACAGGAAAGAGCGCAGACTACCAACTGTTTATTGTCGTTTTTGAAAGCCAATATATACGCATGTTATGCTGCGCTTCCACGATGCGCACAAAACCAAAGATGCCACAAACAAAGCCGACCGAAAACAAATCAAACCAAAATTGACTGCCACCACAATGACAAAAGTGAAAAATGGCAAAATACAAAAGTGATACCCATCACAATCTACACTGCGTAATCCCAAGGTGCGCGCTCATCTGTTTTTATTTATCTTTTATTATTTATTGCACCAAGCATCAACAAAGGCATGAAAGAATGAAAACGTACTCTAGACATTTTTGTTTAAAAACCCTAAAAATAGCGCTTAGCACCAAATAAAACAATAAATTAACATTTTATATTCACTCCAACAGCCCTACGTGAGAAACACGAAGAAGCAGTACGCCGAGAGAGTCAAAAACTATACTAACATAAAACCTTAAAAAACATTACGTAGCGTCACATGGGAAATAAAACATGAACACTAATGAACGAAACAAAAGAAGAGGAATGGAAGAGAACGCACTGCAAGGCGTTAGCGACAACATTACACATGACCATGTAGGAAGACCATTTCCCTGTCCGAAAGTGAAATTGAAGGCATGCTTATGCACTTGTCATTATATTGCCTGATAAAGTACGCTTCTATTATCTCTCTTTCGGTCTTTTCACGTGCCTTAGCCATGACTGACGCATTTTCGAACCGGGGGGTGCAACCGCATTTCCTACAGTGGAAATCTAAATGACCTCCATTTTTTCCTTTTACGGCCAGACTGTGCTCACGCAAGCGTTCGTTGAGGCAACGCCCCGTCTGCCCTATGTACACACTCCAGTTTAGATTGTGATGGGTATCACTTTTGTATTTTGCCATTTTTCACTTTTGTCATTGTGGTGGCAGTCAATTTTGGTTTGATTTGTTTTCGGTCGGCTTTGTTTGTGGCATCTTTGGTTTTGTGCGCATCGTGGAAGCGCAGCATAGCATGCGTATATATCGGCTTCCAAAAACGACAATAAACAGTTGGTAGTCTGCGCTCTTTCCTGTCTCTCTTGTTTTTTTCTTCAAGTTTGTGCAGCAAATCAATTTTTTCAAGTATGAACCAACTAGTCTGCAAAAAAGTATTGATGGAAACTGTGTACTTTATTTACTTTTCTGATAACCATAAATAGTGTGGAAGTCTCCAATAAAAGCAACAGTTGGTTTTTCGCACTACATATTTACCTGCTATGACGGCAACTTCCTCAGGGGTCAGGAGGTCTTTAGGTACCTCTGCTTGGCTTTTCTTCTTGGCACAACCATACCCGTCACACTTTTCTTGTCCTGACCGAAAATCTACTATGCAATGTCTCTTAAGACGAGTGTCGGATTTCTCATTTTTCAAAAAAATTGCTTGCACCATAGCCCCTAATCGCAATTTTCTTTGCCAAATGAAACTGCAAGAAAAAATAAAAACATAATGTATACATGATTTCTTGTTGCGCTTCGTCTTACGAGAAGGACTATAGTACAGTAAGTAGGTGCCCAGTCTGTGCTGAACCTCGTAATATGATATGCATCAAGAAGTCACAACAGCGGACTAGCTCAATACATTACTCAGCCAAATAATGTATATAAGTTCACATCAATGGACGATGAAGAGGGAAATAAATAGGCATCAAATGTAGGAAATATCAACTTTCCGTTTAAGAAATCATACAAGTTGTAAATGCATAAAATTTGCATAAACTCACTGTGCCATCCGCCTGGTACGAAAAGTCAGGGGCTGCTTCCGCGCTGCTGTAATTTTGTTATGCAAAAAAATAATAACACACACGCACACACATATTTTTTGTACTATCTTGCTGCTCGCCCAGGCATCTTTTTCTTTTGCCTTTTTGAGCACTTCCCTGTGGGGGCAGCAGGCTCAGTACTTTTCCTGCTTGATGCGCAGCTCGTCATCACGAAGTTCAACCTTCAAGTGGATGGCGTCCTTGCGAAGACCAAGCAGCTTCTGCCGCCGTCGCATAAAGTCAGCTTTTTCAAAGTGGCGGAAGCAGACGCGTGGACTCTGTGGCCGGTTGCGGTCGTAGTCTATTTCGGCAACCGCTCGTCCCACAATGACATGAGCTCCTCGTTTTCTGGCATGGAAAACAGCTAAAGGCCCTCCTTGTCAGAGGTGTCACCAGACTCGCAGTTGTGGACGCAGCAGTAGTATCTCTTGCCATCACTCTTCTTGCAAGGCTCCACAACTGTATCTTATCAAGGACGTAGTGGAGATTGGTTGGTGTTAATGTTCGTGTTGTTGTTTATGCACACAAACAACTTAATATCATCAGTGAAGTGAATTGCGCCCCTGGTTAGGCTTTCATCGCTACGAACGTTGACCACAAGTGTTAGCACACCATGGATGGGCAGCTCTTTATGTGTGATACTTTCATTGTGAGCTCGTGCATTTTCAGCACTGGGAACATCTTCCAGTTTCCCAAAAGATGTTTCCCTTTTATTCTTTCAGTTCCCCAAGCATGTCATCTCTTTTGAAGTTTTCTCGTCGCAGGCTTCAAATGAATGAGGCTGAAATATATCATTTTTTGGAGGTCACACATGTATATGACGACGTAGCAGCTCTACCTGGTGCTATAGTCTAAAAAAGATATTACATTCACTTGCTTGCAAACATTTTATAAGCTCACGGTTAGTAGTAAATTTTACCCCAATATAAATAACAGAATATCCAATCTATGTTGCTGCTCTGAACTGAGGTAGCAAGTCTCTTTTACACTGTAAGAAACACAGTTAAAGGGTAAGCTTCCACTAGTGCACCCACTTCGCTTCTGTATCAATTTAGAAATCAAATGTCCCACTTACATTAAAAATCTTGCCTGGAAGGCACTATGGAAAGGTTTCCACCCTCTACCTAAGGAAATCTCTCTCCTATTCAAGCTGACCATCTCTCAATTGCCACTATTTCTTTTCCTGCTCCATTTGTCTCATTGCACTTCGGACGCACAAGGTGTCCGGGTCACTCTCGGAGCTACTCAACTCCACATGGTTGGCATAGCTCTGCTTGCGCTCCAGCAAACAATAGGCAAACATCTACACTGGTAATGACAGCATCATACAACTTTCCACCAAATATTAGCTTGCGTCTCATGCAAACTTGCACATTGTCGATTAACTCTTGCCACTTTTTAGTCCGACACTGGGACTTTTCGACGCTTGCATGGGCACCGCGAAGCGCATTTTGCAATACTCTATTGTACTTAATTTCAGTAGCACTGTTCCTGTTTTGTTGCTGCTTCTGTGATTTAAATGTAAATAAAGTGAAAAAACAGTGACCTTAAACAAAGATTCAGAATTTTCTTGCAACATTTGCACCATGGTTTTGGTGTACTGCAGATCTACAAACCTTTTTTACGCTTTTTTCCCGCAGGCTCCCCTTCATTTGAGCTGTCGCTTTTACCATCTTGGTAAATTTTCGGGACAGGAACCCACTTGCTCTGCAAGCGCTCCTGCAATTCAGGTTCACTTTCTTATGAAATCAGAGAGAGTAATACTAAAGCACAATGCATGCACATAACAGTTAGTGCATATCAGAAACATTGAAGCGCAAAAGACATATAGAGAGAAATTTGCTTGAGTGACCGAGCCACAAGCTATAAACTGAAGCTGCTACCAGCCTCATTTACAGAAAAGCGGACAAGAAATGCATATGTCAACAACCGTTATAGCACATTAATCGCGAGAAATTTTCATTTAGAAGATAGTACTTTAAAGCGGCCTGGGCTTATTGGCTCGAAGTGATTGTGCAGTGGCGCACTCTTATACAGGCCGTAAGCAAGAAAAGCGCTAGTGCCGTCCTGCTTACTCGCTCACTGTCTGTGTGTGAGATACTTTCAGGATTGATTTATCATAGTGGTTGTCACATACAAAGTGCGCGGTAGTCCGCCACCTTTGCAATCACGTACCCTCTTCACGTTACGTGAAGCACGCCATTGCGATAATATGTTGACAAAAAGACCTCAGAAGAGCAGCATCAGTCCCGTAGGGGCGTCTCTGCAAACATGCGTTTGGTGCGTAGCTTCACCGCGGACCAGAGCTAGGGGGGGGGGGGGGGGTTTCGACTTCCTCCCGCGCCTAACCATCCGTGCATGGCTGAGCTATGTCCGAGGAAAAGGGCACCCTGGGGGTTGAGCCAACGTCGAGTGATTGAACCTTTAATGCCCCCCGGTAGAGGCAACACAACCCTTTGGTCCTGGCTTCACGTAGACGGCACCCCTGGGCTGACCCACCCAGGGGAAATTGGCGCTCGCCTTTTCTTTGTCTTGTTGCCTAGAAGATCTTGGCTCATACCCACAAGGAGGATTGACCACACTGTACATTATAAGGGAAATTCTTTTGTACAACGCTTGTTAAAAAACAGGGAAGTTAGTTAAGAACAATAATTAATGTTCCTTTGAAAAAACGTGAAAAGTGTAGAATTCAATAAACCTGAATATATATAACAAATTAGGAAAACTGAAGAAGGGGGACAAAGAATTCGATATATCTGGCAGTAAGTACCACTAGCAGGGTATCTTTCCGTTCGCCTGAATGAATTTATGTAGCGCTGAGAGAATAGCACTGCGGCCCGCACCCAACTGACTGGCTCCAAAAAATAAAAGGGTGGATGTAGTACCTGACAATCGGAGCATACCTATTGGTCTCTCCAGAATTATTCAGCGCTGTGAGCCGAAGCAGCGGATTGTGTGAAGTGATCTATTGCTTCCGGTTCATTGCAAACTGCACATCAATTAGCTTTTCCTTTATCTCTCATCTTCGTCTTTATTTTTTACTTTTTCATCTATTCTGTCATCATCTATTTTCCGTTAAATTCCGAATTTTCTGCCGCCAAGAAATAATGTTGTGAAGTTACCCAAGCTTGGGTAACTTCGTTATAGCGGCAATGTATGACTGGCACCTTTAACTGTTCTACCTTGTAGCGTCCCCCTGTATCCCCCTGTGGGGCTCGGTGGTGGGTGGTCACCACCACCGCCGAACATCAAATGCTCCACATGGCATAGTCTTTCTCCCTTCTCAATGATCGGTCCCTGAAAAGAACTGCACAAACGAAAGCTCCAAACAAACAGAAAACCATTGTGACCACTTCCTGCGCTTTCTAGTGATACGCTCTCTTGCAACGTCTCTGTGGCAGGACTGTGGATTTTCCTGTTAGCTAGAAAGAACCCTTGCTAACATAATAAGGAAAAAAACGCCAGGCGTGCGTGGTAGGAGCCGCACACTCAAAGGGAAAGCTAGAAGAGTGGCCTTTCAGAGCCTTTTCAGAACACTCATTGGCTAACTATGGCAAGCACACTTGCTTGGTACCCAGTAGGGCAATATTAATAAGCTTTTGGGGAGTAGGCCAGCATTCCCTATGCTATTTTTGCCATTCTTCTGAAAAGCGTGAACGTTTCCTAGGAATTTCGTGCCAGTTGTCCATGCTGTGGCTGACAACGATGAAGATGTAACAATGAAGTGGGTATGCGCCACCATTATTAGGGAAACAAGAACAAGACTTCGTATCATGTTGAAGCATGTGACGGCCCACTCATTACGCTATTCGCATTGTGCGATGACTGGTTGTTCTTTCGCTGTTGTCAAACGTTTCATAAGTCGTAATAACGTGATAGCTTTCCCGACATCAAGCCTGCCTAAGGCAAATTTAACAACATTCAAAACACTGGTGTAGCTCAGTGCGTAAGTAAGGATCTCTTGTGTAGCGAAAAAAAAGGAACCTCTTTAGGACCTGGCGTTTGAAAAGGTGTGGCGTTCCCAGCCAGCCCTCCGTGTTTCACGCTTCGAAACAGATTATGCATCTCTTCCAGTTGGAGGCCCACACGAACACTGCGAAGATGCGATGAAGCTTTTGTATGTTTGCCCTGGAACAATGAAATAATATCGTCACATATAAAGGTCTTGAGGCTAAGAAAAGATTACAGACAGTCGCCCTCGAAAACACTGACAGATGATTACCATTGCGTCTATTGGTTTTCGAACGGATTTTTCCGCTTGTTTTTGCAGTAGTTCTTGTTAGCTTTATAATATTCTCGTGGCACCCCTAGGTACTTGACAGGTGTGGTCACCCACTACTTACTTACGTACAGTGTGCCTACTGAGACTGATGCCGGCTTTACCTGGATATGTGATTAGCACGAATGACATGACCGTTGCTGTCCGCGGGAATCTTGAAGAGGTTGTTTTATGTTGACCATTTTCTATTCATTCTATGCGTACGCTTTTTAACTGTTAGATTTTCAATGAATACTTGTTTTCAGTGACTCGAAAAAACTTGTAGAAAGATGTGTTAGATGTTGTTTTACCTGAACGCTTGTACATTGCCATGTACACTGGAGGTCAAGGGCAAGATGTTCTTAAACGACTGAAGAGAATGGGAATGTGTCCTGCCGCAAAGTTCTTCTTTTTTAAGCTTCACATGGGTACAATATCTGTCAGGACATTTGAAGCAGACCGTGGTTTTTACTCCCCTTGGGGGACACATTGCCTTATGTGTGAAATACCAGAAACTATAGACCATGTCTTCTTACATTATTGGGAGGGAGCATATTTTTGGGACATACTTCAAAGGACCTTAAAGATGTAATTACCTTTATATTCTTGTGGTATAAGGTTTCTGCCAACAGTGGACGTTGAGGGAATGCCTTTTGATTTTATCTTGATATGTGGCCTTAACTGTTTATGGCGCGCTTGTATGGTGGGTTTTTATTGCGATCAGGATGCACGGCCTGCACGAATGTATTTCCGTGAATGTATGACCAAGTTTGTTGAACTGCAAAAAACTGAAAAGATCGCACCTGAGTGGTTGTCGAGGGTAGTGCCCTTGGGAGCTTTTAGGGAATTTTAGTTTGTGTCGAACTGTTACTTCTTGTTGCTGTTGTGCTTGTCGTTTGATGTACGCGCCTCTTAACAGGCAATAAAGCAAAAAAAGCCGGTGTAGCTCAGTGGAAGAATACGGGGCTGGCATCTAGCGGACCCGGATTCGAGTCCCACTGAGCTATTGGTGCTAGGTCATGCCTGACTAAGGCATGTTTGACAACATGTTACAAGCTCCGGCGTAACTCAGTGGTAGAATAATGAGCTGGCACCCAGTGCACCCGGGTTCAAGCCACACTGTGTCATTGGTGCAAGCTTTTTTTTCTAACTTCGCGCGATATGGTTACGGACACCAGTGGCGGCGGCGGACAACATGCAACTGCGCGTGACCTGAAAAGTGATCTCATAAAAGCTTTCGCCGTATAAGTACGACGCAAAGAAATTCTCATTCGGTGTTTTTTTTTTCGAAGTAGGTCAGAAAGAGCACGCAAACACCCTTCTGAAACAGAAGCAGTTTGCCCACCTGTAGGTTTCTATCACCCCACATCCAAGTCTTAACACTGTTCAAGGCGTCATTTCACAACGTGATCTGATGCGAAATTACGAAACAGCTTTTTGAAGGCTTTCGAGAGCAAGGCAAGAGCCACCTGGAAGCTGTATTCAAGGAGCACACATCCTCAGGATGTACAAAATTAACTTTTTGTTTTTTCTTTAAAAAAGTGAGCACTGAAGGTTATGTATGTAGTAAAGCCATCCTTGCAGATATCTATGTATCCAGGGGAACGCATATAAGACAATAATTTTAACTGTCAGCAGTGCCGTTGAGTAAGATTCAATATTAACTTATTACCGACCGCAGCAGGTGGTGATGTGTGTGGCAAATGTTTGAGCCAGCCTGATTTCTACATAACTTCACTCATAATAATTCAAGCATGCCTGTGCTCAAACTTCCTGCTGGAAAGTTTAGTTGCGGCTTGCGTCATGCTGGACAGTGAGCAGTTGCACCGACTCCCTGATTGGATGCATTTATTCTGACCATAGGTCGATGGCGTTGGCTACCATAATAATGATTACCGTTTAACGATTGGCTGTCGACAGCAAGAACTGACTGCTTGTCCGACCAGAGAATATTTTGCTGATCGTCACTGCTTCGCTTGCGTAAATATGAAAATCAAATTGAACTTTGGAACGGGTTATCTAGGAGCATAAACATGCTCAAATAACTTTACAAGTGGAACCATGCAAAAAACACGACAGCATCTAGCTTTTCAATGCAGACATACCAGCTTATTTCAATTACTAAAATATTGATAGTCTTAGTTGATTGGGCCGCTGACAGCACTATTTTCATACTTTGTGTCTCCCTGCACAGAACGTATCTGCCAAGGTGTTTCTTCTCGCCCCGCCGCGGTGGTCTAGTGGCTAAGGTACTCGGCTGCTGACCCACAGGCCGCGGGTTCGAATCCCGGCTGCGGCGGTTGCATTTCCGATGGAGGCGGAAATGTTGTAGGCCTGTGTGCTCAGATTTGAGTACACGTTAAAGAACCCCAGGTGGTCGAAACTTCCGGAGCCCTCCACTACGGCGTCTCTCATATTCATATGGTGGTTTTGGAACGTTACACCCTACATATCAATCAATACAGCTTTGTTATATTTCCTTCTTATTACAGGAATAGACATTTTTCTCTATCAAAGTGTTCTCATTCCTGAACCTTAGAGCAAGTAACAGCTGCACACGTCGGTGTCACTTCTCAGTGCGGGGAAGTGCACCAGAAAGTAGCCCACTATGAGCGTACTGCATCTGTGGATCACAGGAGCACCTGCTTGCGAAAACAGCTCCAGTACTTCGGAGAGTGGCATGTTGGCGTCGACGCCAGGCACTAGGCCTTGGGTACATGCTAAATGTAAAGGTATCAAGGCGCTTACCGTCTGGGATGCAAACATTGAGCAGTTCAGTATATCTAGGACGCAGAACTGGTCTGGCTAAAAGCACAGTATGCATCCTCTGCCGAACTGTCGGACCTCCGTTGTGAACTGGAAATGGACCGTCGCCAGCCGTAATTCCGTTTGAATTATTTTCGAGTTCTTCATCCGAATGATGTCGTCATTGGTCGGGACTAGAGCCACTGGAACAGATGATATTTCATTGCGCAGTAAAAGATCCACTGTCACCTCCTTCAGATCTGTGGAAGCAGATCAAGGAAAAGTTCCTGGCCCTGGCAAAGAAAGGGGTATCTTGTCTGGTCTGAACTGTACAAACACACTTATCAAACAACTGTTGCACTATAAGAAACGATGATCGAACAATTAAACCAACAACAGCTACTTAATTCTTGGCGACACCCCGAGAGCGAGCGAATGGCGATCGGCAAGCCGACGGCCTGCGTTTTGTTTGTTTCCCTGGACTCATGGCTCACACTGACTCAGGGAGATGGGCAAAGAAAGCTAAGTGCATCTTTGCTATGAGCATTATGACTATGTGTAAGGAATTTGCATTAAATTATGACTAATGTAAAAAAACGACATCAAAAAATAGCAAACGAGAAAAAACATGAACACGTTAAGTTTAGAAATTTTGAGATTGTAGGTGTTGTGATTACCGCTCCGCTGCGTTTACTTCACCTCACAATTTAAAATTTTTTTGTTTATAACTATTAGTTATTTGATTGAAGATCACAAAAGTATGCGTTTGAACACCTGAATATAATCAGAAACGGCATTGAAACATCCCTGTGGATGTTTTCAATGCCTAAAACAGTCTTAAAATTGAAGAACCAAAGCTTAGTGCAGTATTCGCCGTCAATCTAACGCCTATTTTCAGAAATGGAATAACTAGAAGCCTTTTTAAGTATATAGTGTCGGCTACAATACAAAAAATTTTTCATTGATTTTATTTCACTGCAGAATGCACTTAGGGGTGATATTGTTTGACGAGCTCTGTGTATATACGGGTTTAGGGGGGGACTAGACATCAGAATTCTTTAAATAAAATTTCGAGCTTTCTCGACTGGCTCCAGTGTGGTCGCCATGGAAATTTAAGATGGTTATATTCTGTCCATGTAGTTACGTTTTCTATCATAACAGTGCAGATTGCTGATTTTCGATATATTATAGCTGTAATATATTCAACATCTGGCAGTATAGATAAATTGGACCACCAAGTGCGGCTCGTGCTAAGGAATTATTGGCCAGCTCATTTAATTCTTAATCCACAGTGTTCCGGAACCCATAGTAACCTTAGGAGTCTCAACTGCGGTGGCACTAATGTTCTGAATGTCCTTAGAATTCGCGAATTCTTAGAATCTGTCAGAGCTGCACAAGCTGAAAGAGAATCAATCATTATGACTGCGTTGTTTTGATTTGACAGAAGTTGTCGAAGAGCTAAAATAATGCCGGCGAGCTCCGCTTCAAAAACTGGAGTAAAATCAGAAAGTCTAACTGAGAAGGAGCAGTGAAGCAAATCAGAGGCAATGCCTACACCTGCCTTTTAATTATTTACTGAAGCATCTGTGGCTATTATACTTTTTAGTTTCTGCATGCTCCAAGTAACGTAATTACATGTTATTAAAAAATTTGAGAAATTGTAACTTGGCGTTTTGGGGTAAAATATTATCATATTCAATTCTAACATGACAATTCGAGTCATTAGTCTCAATTACACTTCTAATTTTCACATTTATACTTTGTAGATTCTTTTGTACAAACATTATCTGGGGTGTGTGAAACTGTGGCCAATGAGCAAGAAATAAGGCGTCTGGGCTTGCGATAAAAGCACATTGAGATCTTCTTGCCGGTAAGCTATAAAATTTCAAAGATACTTTTACTGTCAAAACGCGAAATCGACAAAGTAGTGTAGGCAGGGGCGCATCCTGGTACAGTACGGTGATAGCCACAAAACTAGGGAGTCCTAGACACATTCGCAGTGCTTGTCGCTCCAAGACAACTAGAGGTTTTGCTTTATAAGCAGAGCCACGCGAGGATAGCATGCATCCGAATTACATGATGGGGCGCATGTACATCTTGTACAACATTATTAAGGTGTGCCTCAGTAGCCCAAATTTCCGGTTGCATAGCTTTTGCAGTAAGCCTGGGGCCCGTTGTGCTTTGGTAGTTATATATAATCTATGCACGGACTCCAGTTAAATTTGTCATTATGAATTATTCCCAAATCTTTTATAGAGTCTACTCGATGGTTGGGTTCCTGTTTACATAGAACTGAAACTGTAGTTGAGTCTGTCCCCGTACTGAACACAAATTGTTAGGCCTAATCTTGGGCGCCAAGCTAACCTTCATTCTACACATCAAGTATTTAAAAACAACTGCATAAAAGAAATGAATATTCTAAAGGTGTTGTCACGCACTACGTGGAGAAGTAACAAGAAGTGTTCGATACAATTGTATAAAAGCATCATACGTACTCGCCTGGGGCAATAACATATCAGTCTGCTACACCTACTGCCCTTAAAATGTTTGATCCTCTTCATTAACTAGGCATCCATATCTCTACGGGGGCTTTTCGCATTAGTCCCGTGAAAAGCCTGTACGTGGAACCGAGGAAAAGGTTGCTCCACCTACATAGATGCTACATATCTTTAAATATTATATTAAAGTGAACGCAGATAAGCAACAACCTTCAAACTGCTGAATTATTGACAAGTCAAGTTCGGATGTTTTTTGTCTTCTATAAGACAGCTTTACTCACTCCGTGTGAGGGGCCTTTGACGATTTCACTCACCGTACTTCACATTTTATTGCACTGTAAAGAATTAGACACGCTCAGAAGACAACACTTTTCATTGCCCTACCGACAACAGACACCACTTTACCAGCAGTGTTCATCGGTGGGGAACCAATTTTGAGACATTAATCGTTGTTGGCTTTTTTGAGAGAAGTCCGTACCTTTCATGTCTTATGCCCAGGCATTCCGTAGCACGACTTCTTCAGAGAGGTCTCCGCTGCAGTGGCTGCACTGAACAAAGCACTTGGGCTAACGCCATAAATGTTCACCATGATTTTTATTTTCACAAACTTTCGTCAGTTATTCACACTACACACATCTCACGACATGGTAATAATTTCAATACTTGTATGTTTTTTCCCACCTTAGCACGAGGAATTCGAAGGGCCGTAGATAGCGGCTTATCGCAATCATCGTGCAATTTTCTAGTACCATTAACTGGTGATTTTTTGCCATCAATCGAACCTTGTGCCACAAAACACAAACATCATCATCAGCATTGCACACAAATTTTCGTATGCTCCAAGTTAAGGGTGTGATTGCGAGAGCACCCAGACGTAGGCGGATAGATAAATAGATAGATAGATAGATAAATAAAGAGGTAGATAGATAGATAGATAAATTGATAGATAGATAGATAGATAGATAGATAGATAGATAGATAGATAGATAGATAGATAGATAGATAGATAGATAGATAGATAGATAGATAGATAGATTGTTTCAGTATGCACTGAAATGCTCGGCATTTAGTAACATTTCTAATGAGAGAGAGTACAGATCATATGTTAATTACAAGATCTTCGTCTGTTACGAACGCTTTCTTTGCAAATATAGTATCAGTTCTTAGTTGCGTCAATCTTCACGGAATAATAAAAAAGAACTCGTTCATTTTATTCGCAGGAGCTTGGAAGGCACTTGGAAATTAGAGAGGAGCCAGAGTAAGAATAGAAAACACAATATCCAATGAGGTTTCGAAAATTTCATAAGTGAATAGGATTGCAAGTATACATCGAATTACTAAAACCAATGTTTATTGCACTGGTCGTATTGGCTTAACAACTCTTTAGGTGTCAGTAAAAAAAATTTCCTTAGATACACTTCTGGAAATAGTTGTATGTGATGTCTTAGCTATAGCACCTCTTCACAGTAGCGTTCTGTTTCTTTTTTTCACGTCAGTCGCATGACATGCCCACAAATACTTGTGAATTAGTTGTCTTTCGCTGTACTTGCTCATCATGGCCTCCTTTCTCCGTCCTGTGACAATTTCTGAATGGCATCCTGCTCTTCAGTAGCAGTTACGCAAAGAAATTCTTCGTTTAATTTGTCCAGGCCATCTGGTTTTGTTTTCGAGGCATTCTTCGTGCTGCATGACAAAGAAATATTCGCATTCACAAGTTTATCACAATAGGCTGGTTCAGTGCTTATTCCCTCTTTACAACGACAAAAATCAGAGGTAGTTCCAAGTAAGCAGTCACAATAGAGGAGAACAAGCCAGGCGTGCATGCGCGGACTTAATCGTTGTCTGCTTCTCTTTTATGATTTCCATGCCTGTACGCTTTGCCTTATTTCATTGTGGAGTCGCACTACTAAGAATTCCGTTGCAGAAGAAAAAAAACTTTGTAAAACTGCGGACGTTCGAGTAAAATGTTCCTTCGAAAATGCCCAAGCATCACGTACGCTTTATTTAGTTTGCTATATCGAAGAACGAAGCAACGGTTAGTCTCTACAAATACACGAAAGCGCGCACGCTTCTGTAAAATGGTGCGCTATTGCCAATTGAGAGTATGCTTCATTGCGTGCGAAACACATTTTTAAATTCAAGTGTATCCCCAATATAATGGTACATTTTTGTTCGATGAAGAGATTTTGGAGATCGCAGCTACAAAAATATGTACTTTTAACTCGCCCATTCTTGAAAATTTTGACAAATATTGCGAAGTTTCGGTAAAAACGAAGAACGCAGAATAAAGGTACGTGACGCTGCACTCAAGGAAGATATCTCAAAAATAATGACAGATGTGAAACAAACTATATATTTATGTGTATGCTATAATCCGTAACTGTTCCAAGCGCAAGATTCTCTGTAACGCGTTACAACGTACTCAAGTATATTCATTGTTATGGTAAGGTATTCTTTATTATATTATGTCTCTAAATATTTTAAAAGAGGAAACAACTATTTTGGGCCTGAAGCTGCAACTCCAGGTTATGAGCACAAGTGTGCATTCCTTATGTAGCAGTGTTGATATATCATAGTTTCCGAGACAACCAGACAAGAAAATGCGTTGCCAAATAGCTTACCTTGCAAGACTTCATGACAAGGCTGCGAAAATTGTTCTTGTAATTCTAGTTTGAAGACATATAATCTTGCTAATTTATTAAATTATTGACACAAAGAGTGCTGCTCGACTATATTGCTTTATGTTACTCCTGGCAGCAAAATAATGTGTCTAGAGAAGCTATAAACCTGGAAATCTCTTCATTTGGCAGTTTGTATTACGGAAAAGTTTAATTTTATTACCTTCTTCTTTTGACGTCATCAACAGTGTCCGGAAGCGTCATCTTGAAGGTCTCTGGTAGCATTAGGGACAAAAGTATACACAGCACGCACACTGTGCAGTCCACTGCTTTGGGAGCCCATGGTCCTATTATTACGGCCTGGAATTCATACGCCACTTTTAGTAACGTCTGTGATCAATGCTAGCGCAATAAGCGCGGTGGAACTGCTATTGTTAATATTAGTATATAATGGGTGCAATTGGTAGATTAGCCGTAGAGCACCAAGACAATGAAAATGTAAATGGAACAGTGTGATCTATGACTATGGCCGAGTGTAACCTGGATGTAAAGAGCCTAAAGTTCAGTGCACTGGTTGTGCGTAAAATAAGTATACATAGTAAATTTAAGATAACGACATGGATATATTCAATAAATCTCACACACGTGCTTCTTAAACGTTCGTACTTTAAACATAGTTGATAAGTTTGACGGCGCAAAGCAACGATTATTTTAATGCAATGTCAGAGTAATTGATTTTCTGGTGCACCAATTAAACTTCATTTTCACATCATGATAATGTTGGTATCGTGAGAAGACGTGATAAAGTGCAAAAAAGATGAAACATTGGTGCATATATGACTGCAGTATACAAGCGACTTCAGACTTATCTGGTGGCTAATATCAAGTGGCCCTACCAAAGTATTGTCGCTTGATATAGGAATCAATTGACATTATTTTGCTGTGGATAATCTAAATATCACACCGACATCACAAAAATGCAAGCTAAGATTTGCCCTCAGAGTTGAGGACTGGGCTGTGGCCTATGTTCCCAGAAAATACGTAGCAAAAAATTAACTTCGTTTAAAAAGTGTAGTTGCTTGCTGAAAAAAAGTCATGCAGCTCTCTCATAAAAAATAGAAGCAATGGATGAAACAAAATATGTCTCTTAAAGGCCTCAGAAAAGTGGCGTTTCCGCTTCCCTTCCATTTTGGTGTATTCTAGCAAAGCCTATAAAACAGACAGGTTCTTTATGCATCTCTCGCGTAGTGGTGTTAGAACCGTTTAAGACATAGTAATGAATGTTATAGGTATGTCCTATATTGATACGGCATAAAACAGCTTCTCTGTATCTATCACAGCAAAAAAAAACTAGGCTTTTATTACGAGGGTTCACAGTATAGATTTTGTTGATTTCTACATCGGACTCTTTTTTCCACCTCTCACACAGATTGTGGTGGACAAGCGCTTTTAGATCTTTGTATGGCACAATGCTCATGTCAACGCTGCTTTTTTGTGCGGCTGCTGCTGCGCAGGCATCCACTCGTTTGTTCCCATCATAACCGACATGGCCGGGTTCCCGGCCTACTATAATCTCTGAGGTGCTCCGATATGCCGTCATTATTTGCGTTTTCAAATCTCTGAGCAGTGTAGCTTATTAAAACTTGTTGGAGTAATTGGCAACTCGTAATATTATCAGTAGCATATTCAATTGTGAATGTGGTAGTGTTTGCACGGGTTCCCGAGTTGCGCTAAATTGCTTACATATGGCTGAGGACTGGATTATTGTCGTTTCATTGTTCAATACACGAACGATGTTCAGTGAATGTGTCAATACAAAGTATTTCCTAATGTTCCGAATAACAATGTATATTAAGGTGGTTAGGACCGCATATGATCTGCGGTAAAAAAAAAAGGTCATGGATTTCCCACAAAGCCGAAGCAATGAACGCGATAGCAACAAATTGGAAGGTCACGCGCAAAATGAAAACCAGATAGAAACGTGCCCCGCGTTTCTCACGCACAAATGACGCACGAAACGTAGTCACAGGTACGGATGAACGCGAATAAGCGTCTCATTTGTTATTGAAATGTGCCAGAAAAGCGTGACGTTTTCGCAAACGGAGACTGTGCAACCATTGTAGTGACCTTTGTGCACCGCTTAACTAAATAGAATCGTTTCAGTGCACGCGCAACGCCAGCCAAGGCGTATGATCCTCCCCACCGGGAGATAAAGGCGCGCGAGATCGTCCACTCCACTCCTCTCCGTGGGACAAAGTACGCGTGAGAGAGGAGAGCTGCCGCGCACTCAGTGCGTCATCTTGCTGACAATGCTGAAAACACGATAATTCCCCCCTCCCCGAGATGCCTGCCAACAGCGGTAAGTGGTAGATTTAAATTGCTTGCCCTTAAAACATTAGAGGAGGTATTCCTCGGTGGCTCAATGGTTAACGCCTCACATTCACGACGCGGAGGTCCCACGCTCGATTACACTCGGTGGAGTCTTTTGATGGATTATTTCTTTCTTGCGTTTGCATATATATATATATATATATATATATATATATATATATATATATATATATATATATATATATATATATATATATATATATATATATATATATATATATATATATATATATATATATATACGTTGCATGGCCTCGACGTCAACGCCGGTGGTGAAATGTAGCCGAGAGTGTCTATATAATTGCTATTATAATAAAATAACACCAGGCCTGCGCGGAATGCGCAGCACACTCATAGAAAAAGCTGGAACAGAGGCCTTTCAGAACCTTTTTAACCAATATTTATTAACTGCTGCAAGCACACTTACACGGTACCCACTACACCATAAGCCGTCGTAATTTTTGTGTTCGTAATTTTTTTGCATAGTGGAAGGCGTTCACTATGCCATCCTCAGTCATTTTTCGGAGAAGCATGGTACCCGCTACTTACATGCAAGGAAGTTTGCGCAGTTTTTTCATTGTGTAGCTGACGACAAGGAATTATGATAGCACTCTTTTAATGGGTGGTACCAATCGACCATGTAGGACGCCTGGCTGTTCCTTTGCTTTATCACACACATTAATGCGATTCCCTTCTTGATATGCCTAGGATGAGTTTGCTACGGAGTTCTAAGCAGCGGCACAGCTCAGTGTTAGCCTATCTGCGCTGGCACGCAGGGGACTCGGGTTCGAATTCAACTGTTTCCTAGATGTTTTGTGGCCTTTGTTTTATTCATATTGCTCAATAGTGTATATGAACGCCAGCTGCAGCGGTAGTGAAAAACTGTATCGTAGTGATTGAAAAACTGTACTTAGTGAACAAATATATTGTACTGATTGTATAGTGGTAGTGCTGCGTCAATTACGCGATTCTGCCCCAATCTGACCTGCTGCGTCAGGCGGTGCCTAAACGACAATGATAATCGTTCATTAGAAGTGTAAAACGCCGAATCTAGCCGATCATTATCTGCGACCGACCAACGATCAGCGTTGGCTACACCAACGAGGGGGCCACATCCATATACAGTGTAGTTCGATGACGTCGTAGTTTGGTTCATTCATGAGGCTTGTAAGTCCTCGTCTCATTGCTGTTATTGCCGTGGTTCCCCACAAAAGTGGTGGCACCTACATTATTATATATTAAAACCTCCATCATTGAAACTTCGAATGGCAGTGCGCGTTTGCAAGTGCAAATATCTCCTGAGGTGCGCCATCGTCACTAAGAAACAATGCAGTACCACAGCAGATGTTGCCCAAAGTACCCACCAGAAAGTATTTTCTTCCTTTTTGCCACAGTGCGGAAACTACTTTGGGCTGGCACTCCCGCAAGATCGATTTATAGTGCGCCGTGGTGACGCCGAGGGGCATTTCGAAACTGCCACTGGGTTTGGCTGACGCAGCCATTCGAAATTGCTACAGAACGGGCTCTATTGGCTTTCCGCAATACACATGTGCGCTTCTGTACTGCGATCTGATACTAAGCGACAACTGACACTTTCACTGAAACCCGGAGCGGTCACTTGGACTCTGATTATCTCCTTGTTAGCGTGGTGTCTGCGCTGCCCACGCCGTCGCTTCCGGGCGGCTCGCAGTACCGTGCGCACTAAGTTGATGTGTGAATTGCTCCTCTACACGTCGCTCCAGACAGAGCACAGATAAGGAGAGTAGTGTGTAGAATTAGCGTGGCTATCAAAAACTTTCGCTATGCGAGGTGTGCCTCGATTATATGTACTCCTTTTCACACATAAGGTGCAACGCTGCGGGCTAGCGAGCCTCCTTGCTGTAGATTTGTTCCCGCAGATAAATATGTTCTGGGTGGCAAAAGCTTGAAAAATCGTTCGTTTTGTTTCAGGCTGAGTAATTTCATTTTCATTTCATTTATTGGTACCCTCAGGGCCGGGAGGTATTACAGAGGGGAGTGGTATTAGCACAAAAAGAAAAAAAAGAATACATAAATGCAGCAATGGATATGCTGTTATTACAGTGGTGCGGCTCCTACTCATACAGTCTTAGCTAATGGCGTTTTTAAACAATTCATGATCTTGGATAGTTGCTATTGATGCGGGAAGGTAGTTCCATTCGATGCTCGTGCGTGGTAGGAATGATGTGTGGCAGCCATTTGTTCTGCATAATGGAACTCCCACCTTGTGACGATGATCTAGACGAGGTGATACATATTCTGGTAGTGAAATAAGTTCATTACGTAATTGGGCATTGTGATATATTTTGTGAAAAAGACACAAACGAAGAAACTGACGGCGAGATGCTAAAGATGGTAGGTTCAAGCTAGATTTCATTGCTGATATGCTTGCGGTGCGGTTATAATTGGAACGAATAAAGCGGGTAGAATTAGTTTGAACCATTTCGACTGAGTGTATTAGATTGGCAGATACAGGATCCCAAACCAAGGCAGCATATTCTAATTTAGGGCGAATCAATGTTTTGTAGAGGGTGAGTTTTAAGAAGAAGGAGCTTTAGCAAAGTTGCGACGTAGGTACCCCCGCATTCTGTTTGCTTTTGCAATTATGTGTTCAGTGTGGATTGCCCAATTTAAAGTGCTGGTTATGTGTAAGCCTAGATATTTATAGCTAGAAACGGTATCCAATGCACGATCATTGAGAGAGTAGGTAGGAGGTGAATTAGTTGTTCTAGACACTCTCATAACCTTGCACTTGTTGATGTTGAGTTGCATTAACCATTTTTGACACCAAATTGAGACAGCAGTAAGGTCAGTTTGAAGAGCAGTTACGTCGGCATCGGAGCTTAAATCACGGAATATTACACAGTCATCAGCAAATAGGTGCACATGAGCGGAAATACACGCAGGTAAGTTGTTAACATAAATAAGAAAAAGAAGAGGACCAAGCACTGACCCTTGTGGTACTCCAGATTGAACAGCGGTGTGGCGGCTGTTCACCCCGTTAGCAGCAACATACTGAGAACGA